ATATATAATGAGTTTTGCGCTATAGAAATAATAACATTATTAAATTATTATACGAGAAAATCCTTTGTCTTTATGCTTTCCACTTTTGCTCGAACAGCCAGCAATAATGCATAAAACCATCCCTTCTTTCTCACATGAACTCTTCGTTAGATACGGTTTGTTTACGCTCGAGGGACACCAAGATGGCGGATAGTAACCGTTGCTAAGGTATTGGTCACGTGGGTGAGACCCAAGGATTGACTGGAACCGCACCACGCGGCTACACAGCCAAACATCAGCTAGCGCATTGAAGCTCACCAACAGCATCACGCTGTCACATTAAAGCATCACATGCATTAAAGCATCACATGCAGCCAACCAGCCTCCAAAGTGAGCATGTAAAGATGAAATAAACAATTTTTAAAAATCGAGTTTCCAGATGGGATTTGAACCCACGACCCTCCGTGATCTAGTCGGATGCTCTAACCACTGAGCTACAGGAGACTCTATGGTGAGCAAGGGTCAATTAGTGGGTATTGACTGGAACCGCATCACGCGGCTACACAGCCAAACATCAGCTAGCGCATAGAAGCTCACTAACAGCATCACGCTGTCACATTAAAGCATCACATGTAGCCAACCAGCCTCCAAAGTGAGCATGTAAAGATAAAAATAACAATTTTTAAAAATCGAGTTTCCAGATGGGATTTGAACCCACGACCCTCCGTGATCTAGTCGGATGCTCTAACCACTGAGCTACAGGAGACTCTATGGTGAGCAAGGGTCAATTAGTGGGTATTGACTGGAACCGCATCACGCGGCTACACAGCCAAACATCAGCTAGCGCATAGAAGCTCACTAACAGCATCACGCTGTCACATTAAAGCATCACATGCATTAAAGCATCACATGCAGCCAACCAGCCTCCAAAGTGAGCATGTAAAGATGAAATAAACAATTTTTAAAAATCGAGTTTCCAGATGGGATTTGAACCCACGACCCTCCGTGATCTAGTCGGATGCTCTAACCACTGAGCTACAGGAGACTCTATGGTGAGCAAGGGTCAATTAGTGGGTATTGACTGGAACCGCATCACGCGGCTACACAGCCAAACATCAGCTAGCGCATAGAAGCTCACTAACAGCATCACGCTGTCACATTAAAGCATCACATGCATTAAAGCATCACATGCAGCCAACCAGCCTCCAAAGTGAGCATGTAAAGATGAAATAAACAATTTTTAAAAATCGAGTTTCCAGATGGGATTCGAACCCACGACCCTCCGTGATCTAGTCGGATGCTCTAACTACTGAGCTACAGGAGACTCTATGGTAAGCAAGGGTCAATTAGTGGGTATTAACTGGAACCGCATCACGGAAATCCCATCTGGAAACTCGATTTTTAAAAATTGTTTATTTCATCTTTACATGCTCACTTTGGAGGCTGGTTGGCTGCATGTGATGCTTTAATGCATGTGATGCTTTAATGTGACAGCGTGATGCTGTTAGTGAGCTTCTATGCGCTAGCTGATGTTTGGCTGTGTAGCCGCGTGATGCGGTTCCAGTCAATACCCACTAATTGACCCTTGCTCACCATAGAGTCTCCTGTAGCTCAGTGGTTAGAGCATCCGACTAGATCACGGAGGGTCGTGGGTTCAAATCCCATCTGGAAACTCGATTTTTAAAAATTGTTTATTTCATCTTTACATGCTCACTTTGGAGGCTGGTTGGCTGCATGTGATGCTTTAATGCATGTGATGCTTTAATGTGACAGCGTGATGCTGTTAGTGAGCTTCTATGCGCTAG